TTTTTTTTTTTTTTTTTTCGTCGATATTTCTGGCGCTTGATTTCGAGCCTTTCTCACGTCATCGTGTCGTGCTTATCTTGTATCTTGCTCGAAGCCGGGAATTATTTAATTAATATGGATCATCTGGAAAAGAAAATATCTATATTTGAAATATATATATATTTTTTTTACTGAGTCTTAGGTTGGGGATATTGTGATTTTTGGATTTTTTTTTTCTTTTTTAGTATTTTTTTTTTTTATATATTTCGACGCGCAAAATCCGAAAATGACGGTTTTCTTTGTTGGAATTCATTGATTATTTGCATGTGAAATTCTGTAGTTTCAAGATGTTTTGCGAGTTACGTCATGTTGAATAGAAGCACGAGCGAGCGCCAAATTATTATTACAATTTAAAATTTCATGTGATACAATTAATATTACAATGAATAATATTTTTATCGATAAAATCATCGTTGGAATATTATTGACTTTCTTGCATTTAATACAATTCGAGAATTGAATACTAATTCCCGTTCATTATAAGATGCTATTAAAATTTTAAATAATGCAATTTGAATTCTTTAAAAGAGTTTTTTTAATTTATTATTATTATTTTTTAAATTTTAACTTAACTTTTATTCTTAAACTTAATTTTAATTTCACGCGTGCTAGTGTTTCTATCGTTCATTCAAATTGGCTGAATATTCAACATGGTATCCAATTCGCGAAACATCGCATGCACATAATTTCAAATCGAATTTCGACAATTAATACCATAATGTTCTGATTATGCACGTCAAAATTTATAAAAGAAAGAAAAAAAAAAAAAAAAAGAAAAAGAAAATACGAAAAATACAATTTTCAAATATCCCAAACTAAAGTTTTTGAAATGTCGAATTTTTATAGTACTTTGTATTCGAGATATTTTCGACGCGATATTCTCGTCTTCGAGCTCTAGAATTAGACTTTGCCAAATGTGCAATAAAATTTTTATAAATATTTTATGCCTTCCTTGGGTGAGAAAAAAAAAACACGAGGTAGCTCGTTTTATAGATAAATTACGAAAATTGATGGCAGCAAATGGTAAATTAATCCAACCACGTTTGATGGGACACGGTCGAGCATTCGAAATCGGTTGAATAACTAGAAACTTTTATTTCTTTTTTTTTTTTTTTTAATGCTTGAATTAATGTGGGTTTAATAGTAAAAAAAAAAAAAAGAAAAACAAAATTCAAAAAATAATAATTTGAAATTGACCCAATTAAAATTTTTATAAATATTTTATGCCTTCCTTGGGTGAGAAAAAAAAAACACGAGGTAGCTCGTTTTATAGATAAATTACGAAAATTGATGGCAGCAAAGGGTAAATTAATCCAACCCCGTTTGATGGGGCACGGTCGGGCATTCGGAATCGGTTGAATAACTAGAAACTTTTATTTCTTTTTTTTTTTTTTTATATTTCGCTATGGACTGTGTTTAACCGATAACGAAATGGTTCCGAAAGGATTAATGAATCTGAATCTAGGCGGCTTATTGTGATTTTAGTTGTCGAGGGATTACGAGATCGTTTCGATCATTTTCTCGATTACAGTAGCAGTTCATTGTCAGACATGCCTCTTTGTTGCGCATAATGGCACGCGGATCAGGCAAACATAGAGCTGGGAAAAACAAGATTATAAGCAAATAAAATACTGTATTAAAAATAATAATTGCATAATAATATCTCAAATATATATTTTCATATCGATTCATACTATTTTAAAAAGATGATATCTCAAATATTTATCTTCAATACAAATATATTACAATTTAATATATTGAAATCGTACTATTAATATATGTATAATATATATATATATATATAATAACATATCAAAACTTGATAAAATATAATCTATTTTCTAAAGATTAAAAAATGCATATTGCCTTCCAATTAAATGAAAAATAATTCTTTTATTTGTATCGAATTCAAATGTAAATAATAAATAGTATTTGTCTATAATATATATATATAAGTAAAGTATCTTAAAATAATATTTGCTTATTAGAAATATTTTTCAATTTTCTAAGTATTTTTAATTTATTTCAAATTTTTCCCAGTTCTATCACTACGTGCTACTTACAATCTATCTGTGCTGTGCAGATACACCCTTAAAAAGAAAAAAAAAACGCACCATGCGGTCATATGGCTTTCGATACTTAACCTTACATGTTAGAATATCTTTGAAAGAGTTTTGCAACGCACTGCAACACATACATACTCTTACGTTTTCATATTACACATACTGAGACACATCATGATATGTAACGAATTACGGAAATCAGAGAACTCCTTATGGATGGATAATTATAGAAAAGACATTATCGTGGCATGCATGGCTGCATGTAGAATTACAATCTATATATACGTTTTATATTGATCTTACACAGTAGTACGTGTGTGCGTTTACCATTACTTCTATTTTTCATTTTTTTTTCTTTTTTTTTTTTTTATTATCATTGTTTTATTTTTTTTTTTTTCTTTTTTTTTCTTCTTGTTTTTGCGGGACGGATTGGCTGGGGTTTTCTGGGTGAATAAGATACGAGGCGAAAGAAAGTGGGAGAGAAAGAGCGTGAAAGAGAACGGATGTCAGACATTTCATATTATTTAGTTTCTAAATTGCAAAATTCTAAATTTCTCGCGTAGAAAGTAGAATAGGCGCCGGTTTGTTGCATTGGCAAAATTAATAATAGAATGAAAGGATTTTTCATAGTTTTTTTGCTGTTTGTTCCTTTGTTCGCAAATCATCTCGATCATTAGAATCTTTTCGTGTGTCATGTAGCAGGCAAATCCTTTCGTGCTCGTAACGGGAGTCAAAGTCGTTTTGCATTTTAGAAGAACAAGAAAAAAAAAAAAAAAAAGAAAAGAAAAATCAAATAAGAAAAAAAATTCTTACAACAAAATAATGATAGAAATCCTGATACGAGCAGCCAATTCAAATAGCCCGCGCTTTCGTACGTTAACTCATTAACTTAACATATATATTCTCGCGGTTAATTCGAGAGACGTCTGTCTTTGTTGACAAAAGAATGCGTAAAGTTGTGAAACGAAGGCGAGGCTTAGTGACCAATGACACGCAATTTTGTCGCCACCTGCAGGGGATAAAGACAGAGGGCTAAAAATCAATTGAAAAAAAAAATCGAAAAAAAATGACGCAGGGCAAGGCATTGGCTGGGGGGCCAGGCGCGGCGGGATGGATGCAGCAACGCGAGGCGGTTCCGGAATTTCCGCCGCTCCACGATTCAGCGGACTCTGATTCTGACCGAGAGAATGAAAAACGACCGCGCGTCTAAAATTACTTTTGGAAATGAGCGAGCTATATAGTATGGTAACGAGACTAATAAAACGAGATATATACCGAAAGAAAAGAAAGAGAGAGAAGAAAAGAGAAAAAAGGAAAAACGCAACAACAAAAACGAGGGGAAAAAAAAAGAGGAAAAACATAGAGCAGAGTGTATGTCAGAGAAATGGAAAAAAAAAAAAAAAAAAAAAAAAAGAAAGAAAGAAAAGCAGACGTACTGCTAACCGGACAACCAGGAACTACTACGTCGTCACCCACTATACCGACACGCACATGCTCTCGTTGTGCATACGGCCACATACACCCACATACGTATACACACATGCGATATACGCGCACCTCCGAGCCACACACATGGAAATAATGTTCGTTGGTGTTCCTACGATTAATGATAACATTAGTTTCTCCGGTTTTGAAACATTTTTCTCCTTTTTGCGTCAAGAGAGAGGGCCAAGCGCACAGAACGATGCGGCGATACACGTAAGTTTTATTGCGGGTCAGTTTATACAATTGTAACTGTATTCGATAACTGTCCTCCTTGGTTCGAATTTCGTTTCTTTCTAATACGAATGAAATGAGAATTTCATATTCGTTTTCTTATCCCCCGTGTTTTTCAGGGATAACAGACGTGACTGTTTTATTATTATAGGTCATCCTATAAGAAGTTTTTCAGTTTCGAATCATTAAATTTATATAAGGTATAATTAGCGTAACGTTTAGCATAAGTTAGAATAGAATGAAAAATTAAATTAAAATCGAGAAACGGTTCTTTTCGCGTTGTAAAAATATATCCGATCACGTTTAATATCTACTCGAAAAGCAATAATGGATAAAGATTTAGTAGACAATTTAACTGATAATTAACTCGTATCGTGTCGAAGTAGAACAAAAATCTATGGAAAATAGATTTTTCAAACAACAGACTTGCACGTGGGATGGCCTATTGTGACTTAAATATCGTAATATATAAATATTATATATTATATATATAAGTCGTATCATAATTACGTTACATTACGTTATATTACTATTTAAATTTAAAAATTTAAAAGCATAAAGTATACAGAAATACAAGATATTTCGATCTATATATAATTTAAACGATGAAAAAAAAAAAAGAAAAAAACATTAAAATACGAAGTTTCGACTGAGGAGGACGAAATAATTAATGTTTCTCGAGGTACACGAGCATGGGAATAATATTCGACTCGAATATATCATTCGATGGATCACGCTTGAAGAAAGAGAAAAACATTTCGTATACTTGATGTTCGCATCTTCTTTGCCTCTGTCCTTCGATCTTGATATTAAATCTTGCCTTATCGAGTGACTGTGATGCATCAAGCATACACGTCACCTATTTACAGAGGATTTAAAGAGCGAAAAGAGAAAGAGGAATTTAAAGAAAAAAAAAATGGCGGGCAGAAAGAGAGAGAGAGAGAGAGAGTGTGTGTGTATGTGAGAGAGAGAGAGAGAGAAAGAGAGAGAGTGGAAAGGACGGCGAACGATAAGAATCCGTTATAGGGCAATTGCGCTCCTAAGAACGTAGGGTTCGCTTCTATTTGAGACAATACGGCAGCGTACAGGCGCCTAGCTAAGGAAAGAGAGGGAGAGAGCGTATACAATCAACTAATTTTTATTTTTTATCGTATCGTATGCCATATACACGCATACATAGATAGACAGCTTGTACAGATATTTTTATTGTTATATGAAACCCATTGTATATCTAGTTTCATTTCAATTTATTCACAAAATTTGATTTTTTCTTTCCTTCTTTCTTTCTTGCTTTCTTTTTTCTTCTTCTTTTTTTAATACTTGACCTTTATTGTTTTTTTACGATAATTTTTAACGTCACATTATGTATATCCCTCCATTATAATGCGTAGCGTAATTTTTTTTTTTTTTTTGCTGGGTAAGGATTTAAGGGAACGATTTTCTTTTGCGCGTACGTGAAGAAGAAAAGAATACTTTTTTTTTTTTTTTAAATATGTGTAAGTATATTAAGGATGAGAACGCACTCGAAACTTAAAAAGATGTTGAAACTTTTTTCTTTGTTCTCATGTGATGTTCAAAATTTTTGAAGAATAATTTATAACGTAACAGTAAATAATTTAAAGGAATGTGACGATACGAATTTATTTTTATTTAAATTAATATCTTAGTTTTTTATTTTTTATTAAATTAATATCTGAGTTTTATTTTAGATAACGATATAGATATAGATTCTTTCTAAAAAATATGATTGAAGATGAATTTAAAAAATTCCAGAAAAATTAAAATTAAAAGTTAAAATTTAAAAAGAAAAATTAAGTTTCGACTCATCTCTAATATACGTGTATATATTTTTTAACTTTCTTTCTCTCTTTTATTTTTTAATCTTTCGACGCGACATATAATCATTCAAACTTGTCTTTTTTTCTATTCTGACGTAATTCGTTTTAAATCTAATCCCAGCATCCCGAATATCATGTAATGCTAGCGAATGTTTCCTACGTTCGATTATGGTTTAAGTTCCGAGTCTTAAGTTTAGCTTCGAATTATATTTGCAGCGATGCGTTGACAATGTTTGCGTGCTGATTTGTTCAATTACGTTTGAACGCGAGGACACCATTCACAGAGGACAGATTATAATTATCATTTTTACTCGATTAATAATATTTATTCATCGAAATAATTAAAAATACCCACGTGTATTTTTAATATTTAATACGATAATAATAATTTGTAGGGGTGTCCTCGTTGTAAGGAAAAAAAAAAAAAAGAGCTTAATATCGTACCCTTTGTTATTTTTCTGAAAAATTGTGTGCATGATTGTACCTACGAGCGAATCGAGAAACTCCGAGCAGTTCTCTTCGTTCTTTTTTTTCCCTTTCTTTTTTTGTAAACAAACGATTCAGCACGAGATCTTAATTAAAATTCATTTCCTTTACGTCTTTTTTTTTTTCTGTTTCTATTAATTTCAACACCCGATACATATACATACATACGGTGTCGAATCCAGAGAATTTGAATTAACCGCCAAAAATTTCAAACATTTTTCAAACGTACGTACGTATTCGGCTTCGAGCACAACTCGAGCACGTCCAAAATATATTTTCTAATAAAATAAAACGTTCATATCGAGGTTAATAAAAATTGCAAAAGAAATTCCGATCGAAGCCGGATTTTATCGATATATGCGAATTTTTCCAAAAAATATAGATTTTGAAAAACTGGATTCGACTGGATTCGACATTTAAAAAAAAAAATATATATATATATATATAAATATAATATATATACGATTGCGCCTGTCTACCCTTAGTTGGTCGTACGTACGTAGGTTACATATGTATTGTGTATACGTATACATGTGTATAAAAATATATATTCTATACTTTCGTATCTGTATAACACGTGTGTTACAATTACGAATGGTAAACTTTCTACCATGAACTGGGCAGAAACGTAAAGATTGCGTTCCGACCAAGTTTTTTCTTCGACCGTATGCGTGCATGAATATGAATATAGTCGCCAGAAAAAGATATTTTCAGACAAACAATGTCACACGCGAAGCATATATCTTCTATTTGATTATTCTATTTTCTTTTTAATTATTATAAGATTTTTAAACTTACTTTTTAAACTCCTCTGTCCTCCTTAGTTGAAATGTCCTATATAGTATTTCGTAACGTACGTGAAAATCGAAATTTTTATCATTCTTTTTTATTTTTTAAACATTCTTGAGATGACTTTTAAGATTAATAAAATGGATTCAGAAAATATTTGCGTATACTCTTATCTTTCAATGTAGCCTTTTTTTAAAAAAATTATATTCTATATTCTTTATTTTCACAGTATCAAATTAATAGTAATTGAATAATAGTAAAAAATAGTCATAATATATTAAATAGTTTGAAACATAATATATTTATTTAATAAATTTATCTAATATATACAAATATTTTTTGTAACCATTATACATTGGATCTAGATCTCAGAAAGGTTCAAAAGGTTCAGAGAGATTTATAAATTTATTTAAAAATTAAAGAATAAACTTGAAATATTTCAATATATATATATATATAAAAATAAAAAGAAAAGAATATTAAGTAGGATATTTTAACTAAAGAGGCCAGTAATAAAATATTGGAACACTTTTTTAATCTCGATTAATAGAAGGGAAAAAAAGCGATCGTAAGAAAATAAGAAAACGAAGAATTGGTATAGAGTACAGCTTTTTCACGCGACTGTGTGATCACGTTCGCGTACACGGCCGGTACTGTTTGCTTTCAGGAGCTGTCGCCTTGAAATACTTAGAGGAATCGCAAGAAGATACGCGAAACAGACAATTAACGAGAATGAAATATGATGTAGGAACATATAATATGTATAAGTTGTATCGTGAAAATGCTCGCGCAATACGATCACCTCACTATCTGTGATCCGAGGCTCGCCTATAAAGGCGGGTAATACGAACTAAAACAAAAAAAAAAAAAAAAAAAAAAAAAAAAAAAAAAAAGAAAAACAAAAACAAAAAAAATCGATATTAAGCTATTAATGTTATGTAATACAGATTCTCTAAGCGAGAAGCGTTCACGTTTCTAAGTGACGTGCATTTAAAAAAAAAAAATCGCCCGACAAATCGAACGATTCGATGTTGTTGGGATCTGATTTACCGATCGAGTGCTAACGAACGAGATACACGCGCGATATACGAAATTATCCTAAACATGCGAATACATTTTGACGTAAAATTCTTGAAAATTATTTTCGACGGTCATTTCTCGTTAATGGTTATACTATTCAACCAGTGGTTTTCATTCTGATCTCAGTGTCCATTTGTGAAAAATACTCTCGAGAGAAATTTTTTGAGGGAATTTTATTTCTCAAATGTATTTGCACGTAGAATTATACATATATCACGATCAAACTTCTTATACGAGAAAATTCTTCGTATTATTTGCGAAGACGAAAAAGTGATCGAAAACGACAAGTCCCGTTTCCGATTGCTTTATATATTTTTTTTTTTTTTTTTTTTCGTTATTTTCTCCTTCA